GAGAGAGAGAATTTATAATATTAACATAAATATTAATATAAAAATAAGAATAATTGAGGAACTAATGAAAAATCTTCAAATTCTGTCACTAAATTTTCATTATTTCTTTCTACGTTGTTCTTTATAAAATCTATAAGGCTCGAATTCCTGCGCTTCAGTCTCATAATTGTATGTATCCTGTCGCCTGAGTTTGTGGACGTCACTGTTTTCCCGGGCGACTTTTTTCAATCCGACTATGGCGCTAATATCAAGCTCATCAAACTCAGCACGACGGCTTTTCCGCTTAGAATAGCCAATGTCTTCAATGTGATGGGTAGTAGAATCGATTTTATCAGAATTATTCCAACAATCAAGGGTACAACGTATTTATTTAGCTTCAACTTCTTTGCTTTACCCTCTGCAACTGATAAAAAGATATTTAACAAATAAAAATAGGTGCAACAAGAAATTGTATAAACATATAAACATGTTATATATGTTTAGATGCATATATATTTTTACATAAAAATAGAATTGATGAAATGTATCATATGTATCCCCACTCGACGTATATTACATTGTCAGTAACGTTCTATTAAACATGCTTCAAATATTATATCGTATCGTAGAAGAATTTTACTCGAAACCAGGATGTACATATCGAATTTCATCGAAGTATGCCTTCCTTATTAGGCACGATCATTACGGAAGTTAATAAAACGAACTAGAGTAGAAAGCACTTATGTTTTTGTACCGAGAAGCTCCACGTCATAAACCCAAAAGCATCATAACGTAATGGACAAAACGTGCAATTACACGCTTCTTTAACGGTAACTGACTAGCATGCGATCTCATAATTCCTTTTCATGTTAAATTATTCGGTCTTTTTTTTTTGGCTAGATTTAAAATATGGCGCTAGATTTATTATCTCATTATCTCGCAACTTTTTTTGGTCTTTATTCTACATAATACAAACATAACGGATATTTTACATAAAATTTACACAAAAGATGCGCTTATAATTGCTATTGCAAAAAAAAATATTATACGTTACAAGCGCAATTAATATTTTTGTGAACACGGTGTTTCAACACTAAACTATATAAGATAAT